CGCCGGGCCTCGCCGCCACTGTCGATATTTGCCGGCCGGTGTTGTAAGGGGCAGCGCTGGGAGCGCCGGGTCAGGGGTTGTTCCTGGCCCCGTGCTGTAACGGAGGTTTCGCTGGAGAGCTGGGAGTTCAGTAGGAGACAGTCTAATTCTGTGCTTAGAGGGGACCGTGTTGACTTGCTGCCTTGGCACCTGTAAAATGGTGGTAATACCGAAGCTGAAGTTGTTCAGAACTTGTATGCATTTAAAAAATAATAAAAAAAATCCTTAGGACTCCTTATGTTGAGGATTTTCTAAAGTATTTTGGGAGAAGACCAGCTCTAATTTTGTGGCACAGGCCACTCAGGAGACTAATTCTCATGTTTGCTCTTTTTTGTGCGTGGTGTTAATGCAAAGAATAATAAAATGCCAGCATGCAGTGCTTAACCAAGAAGGATCGTAAAAGTACGCAAGTATTGGAGTGCTACTGCCGACTTAAGGTGTAAGATGTGGATAGGAATGAAGTCTCTACAAGTTTCCATGTTGGAATTCCCTTGGTTCTGATTAAATTCCTTGTTTCCACCTATGATATTGTATTCTGAGTTTTATCTATAGCTGTTGACTTGTCTAAGCTATTTATTACTCTAAAAATGTAGTGTAAACTATGAACATTTGATATTGCAACTGTAAGTGAAAAATACTGGCTTACACACTAACTGTTCCATAGGATACTTACTGCTGTCACTTAAAAAACAAACAAAAACACCCAGCTGTTTGTCTGAAGAACAAAGGGAATGTTGAGGCTTTTTCCCTCAATGGCAGTAGTCAGAATTCTGAGGTTGCAAGTGATGAGAAATGCATGTTCCAAATACAACTTTTAATTTACGAAAACAAAAATAGAAAACTTACTAGCAAATGATACTCAAAGCTATTGATTTTTTTTTTTTCAAGTTGTGGACAAGCTAACATAAGCTGGAGATTACTTGAGGGGTGAAAATTATAGATGTTCCCAAGTTGCAATTCTAAATGTGAGTGGTTGGCTATAATTTACTAAATGTCAAATACTTTTATTTTACTACTGACAAGAACTTTAGAGAAATTCAGATAATGCTATAGCTTGAGAGTTCATTGTGCTTCATAGCAACTCTTTTGTCAAAGCATGAAGATCGCCTATGTTATTTTAAGGAAAGTTTGGTCTTGTTTCATGAATGCTATTATATACCTTCTAAATTTCCTGTTCAGTCCTTTGTGTTAAAAGGATGAACTAAGTCTTTTTCTCTGTTTGCATGTTAGTTTATGAGATTTTTTTTTTAATGAACTTCTGTCAAAATACAAATAAGGCAGGTGGATGTCAAAACAAATGACAACACTTTCATGAAAGTGTCGTTTATTTTGTAGCCTTAAATTGGAATGTGAGAAACTAGCAAGTGAAAAGACAGAAATGCAGAGGCACTATGTGATGGTAAGTACATTTGGTTTTTTTGCTTTGTTTCTGTAAATATCTTCTAATACAATTGTTAGCCAGCATGAGAAAGTAACACATGTCCCTTAATTTGCAGTATTATGAAATGTCATATGGATTAAACATCGAAATGCACAAACAGGTAAGGCGTTTCATTTTTCTAAACCACAAAATCTGTAGTCTAGTGCATTTAAATGTAGTTTTTTTTAAATTTATATCTGAATCACAGTATCATATGTATGAAAGAATGGACTGATTTGTAGCTGTGATTAGTAAATCTTTGCTTGCCTACTGTCAAATGAGGTATACTTTTGGTTAAGCAACAGTGCTTTCTTGATGTTGGTTCTGCTTTATATGGGTTTATTTTCGTCATTGATGGAGCCTTTGATATATAGAACCAGTTTTATGTATGTGTAGCATATGTCATGATAGTTGCTTAAATCCTTGCTGTTTAAAGATATGAAAAGATTAGTGACTTGGAAAGCTCTAGTTGTGACTAGAGTTTGCAAGTTCCCATAAAATTCACAGTTATGGCCACTATAATGGTGAGTAAAAACAGTATTGAACTGGGACAATGCACTAAGGACCTTGTAAGAGAAGAAAAGCTAAATGATTACTCAGCCCAGAGGACCCTCAATTGAGTAGTCACTGTCTGCCAAAGAAAGCATTAATGGCAGGGTGTAAGTATTCTGTAGATATGCTGACATTTGCTTTTTTAATAAAGATGCTGGTACAATCTTTCAGAAATCATCTAATTATAATTTTTTAAGAGGCCATTGAAGTTGCACAGTTGGACACACTTCAAAGTGCAACAGTACAATTCTTGATGTATATGTGCTATTTCATCTAAAACTCTTCTCTCATTAAAGAACATGGCTGACCGGCTAGGGCACAGCAAAGAAATTGATTAGTTCAGGCTTCAGATCTTCAGTATATTCAAAGACTTTCATTAAACAAGTGAATTGCAGAGTTGAATTTTGCTTTTGTAACCATAACACCACCACAGACTTCAGAGTTATCTTCCCCCCCCCCCCACCCCGACTGACACATAGGTGATGTTGTAATTCCATGATAGTTTTGTCTGGAAAGCTAGATGGATTTCTGGCATTCTGTGTTGTTTTTAGTGATGTACTTGTTTAAATGCAAAATACTGAAAAAAGCAGAAATATTATGACAACTGTATTGTCTTAAAGTAATGCACTGAAAAGGTAGATAGAGCAACCAGAGTAGTGTTTGACTCAGTTCTGTACTGTAGCTGCTGTAGTTTCTTTTGTCTTATGTTTTAGAATAATACTTTTTTTCTGTGAGGTAACTTTTTCAGGCTTTGAGATTTTTGGGTGGTGCTTTTCTTTCTTTTTTCCTTCCCTCCTCCTAAACAACTTTAAAGCAGACTGCAACTTGTGAGGAAGCCAACATCTATATGGGAGCCTTTTTTGGTGCAAAGTGGATGTTTTATTATTTTTATAAGCTCTTTGAAGAGAACACGTGACCTCCATAATACTGATGATAATTGATGATACTAAACTGGGGGGAGAGGCTAACACACCAGAAGACTGTGCTGCCATTCAGAGGGACCTGGACAGGCTGGAGTGGTGGGCGGAGAGGAACCTCATGAAGTTCCACCAAGGCAAGTGCAAGGTCCTGCACCTAGGCAGGAATAATCCCATGCACCAGGACAGGCTGGGGGCTGACCTGCTGGAAAGTAGCTCTGCAGAGAAGGACCTGGGAGTGCTGGTGGACAACAAGTTGACCATGAGCCAGCAATGTGCCCTTGGGGCCAGGAAGGCCAATGGGATCCTGGGGTGCATTAGGCAGAGTGTTGCCAGCAGGTGGAGGGAGGTGATCCTGCCCCTCTACTCAGCCCTGGTGAGGCCCCACCTGGAGTCCTGTGTCCAGTTCTGGGCTCCCCAGTACAAGAGAGACATGGAGCTCCTGGAGAGAGTCCAGCGGAGGGCTACCAAGATGATTAGAGGGCTGGAGCATCTCTC